GAGCGAATCGATTTAAATAGTATTAAGTATAAAACGGATTTAATACAACTTGTTAATATATAATATTATTATAACATATGCGGGTGTTTCGATAATATTATGAGTCCCGAGTTAAACCGTTATAAACACCTAATATAATATTATCACTTCTATGTAATTTTAATTGAAAATTCGTGTTACTTTGTGATTCAATATCTACCTCTATAGGCATTTAGCTAGTTAAGTTTTACATAAAAAAAAAAAAAAAAATGCATATACAGTAATTTAAGTCGGTAGATTAACTTTGAAACCTTCGCAATAATTCTACATTATAAACACGTGCATACTGCGTAATATATATATATATATATTTATGAAACAACTATAGACAGCTGCCTCTATAACTAAATAGGAAGCTTGGCACTTCATACACCAAGAGGGGACAAAATGGCATATATAAGGTCGGGCACAATGTGTCGTACTCCCCCTCCCCAATCTGAAAATATTTTCTATACATTACACTGGGTCAAAAATGTATTAATCGATACATTTTTGCTCGTAAATTATATGTTAAATACATATGATAATATGCAAAAGTGTATTTTTAATTATTTCCATTAATCAATTCTACCTTCAACCTTATAGTTTATTAAATTTTACTAGGAAATTGGATAGAAATCCTAATGGGATTTGATCAACTACTCCATTAAATGATAAAAAAAATTCAGCTGTAGATCAATTGTGAAATATAAAAATACCTAAAGTAAATTTGAATTCTTAGTATAAATTTGTTGTTTTTGTGGATTTTGGTCTTTCGAATTGCTTTTTAATATATATGACCGGTAACTGACATGGTTTATACATAACAAATCCATGGGTTTTTTTTTCGATTGAAGTTCCGAAGTAAGTTTAACAATAGAAATGGTCGAATTAGCTAGCAGACGGCATGATTGTAATTGTATAGATCAGCGTTATATCTCTATTTTGAGATTAGTTCTAAACTCCTTTAATTAGTACTTAAAAGATTTTTAAACTTGGATAAAACGTAGAAAGAACGGGAAAATTTACGGAAATAATGGTTTTTTTTTTAATTTTAAATTTTAATTTTGTTGCAGTACAGTTGAAAATATTCATAGAAACTTGACATTTTATACAGAAAACTGAAATTAGCTTTTTCTAGACTTGGTGAAATTTTCAAAATATCCTGAAAATATTATTGAGCTATTTATATGCATTTTATATTAAAGTGGTTTTTACGTACATAGTTTTTATTTAGTACTTTGTGTATAAAATTGTTTGGCCATTCAAAAATGCTTGAAATTTTAACACAAGGTTAAGTTTTAAGTACTTAGTAGTCAAATAAAAAAAATAAAGTGTAATTTAACAATTATTTTTGTACAAGTTTTAAGTTCAAATTTTTACAAAAATCGAAACGGTATTTTTGTGTATAATTGAACATCGCTCAGAAACGTTTTTCGTTAGCAATGATTCGTCGTTTCTTACAGATATAAATTAAATAACTTTGTGTATCTTACCTTTCCAGCTTACCGGTAGCATATGTGTTCCCTAATATCAGCTATTTTGTTATTGTTTTTAAATAAGACACTGTAGTTTTGTATTAAATAAAAATAAATAAATTATCGATTATTTGCACTGTTGTTGGTAACAAGTGCAATTTCCGTAGATTAATCTGGTTTTATTTCCGATAGAATTTAAGCAGCCGCTCTATGATTGACGAACTCGCGTTATTATCGTTTGAGTAAAACGGAACCGCGAGCTTTTCGTTTAATAATTCGTAATATTGCATTATTATTATTGCATCCTGTTTTCGAACAAAATCAACATGGTTATTAGGTTCTCTCGATAGGTAAACAATTGAATATTTTTGACATTTGATAAATTATTCGTACAGTCAAGCAAGTATTTGAATTTGGAAACATTTTTTCCATAAACACGATTGTGTACTTGACTATACATAAGAAAAAAAGACAAAATATATTATGTAAAAACTATATATAGTAATAAAATAACTTCAAAATCAAATATATCCGATATGAATACCAAATTGATTAAGTTGAAAATAGATTATTATTATTTTGATTTTTAGTATTATGTTAACGTTATTTATGCTTATTGTTGTCCAATTTCTCATAGTTGTCTACGCGGTTACCAATCCCAATGCTCACTACATATCCACCAATCAACAAGTGACTCTTTATTCGAGTTCTTATACTCATACAATTTTTAAATAATCGAACATTTTCGAGTAAGTGACATTTGAACTCTACTCAACTAGAAATAATTAATAGTCGACTTGACTCGACTTGATTTAAAAAGAAAAAAATAACCAATACTCGTCCAACTCTGTTAATTTATATTTATATATTTCTTTTTTTTGTTTTCGAAAATGCCAAATTGTCTCGTGAATTATAACAACGTGACTTTATTCTTGAGTACGACCTCGTCGTCGGAACATATTATGCATCTCCCGTGAGATTTTTTTCTATTCAGCCGCGATCTGCTCAAGTCCACGCCGAATTCATTATGTACCCGTCCGAGTAGCTAATGTCTGTTTACGGTTGGGTTTCAGGTGATCTACGCTACGCTGAACCGGGACTTCCGGAGACCGTTCCAGCAAATATTGTACTTCAAATGTGGTTCGCTGAATCACATGATGCGGGAAGAGTTTTATCATTCCCAATACGGTGACCCGGAGCCCCAGCACTCCACGCACTATTGCGTCATTCCGGGAGAATCGAATTTCGCGCCGCATCCGCTGCAACCGTCGCCCACCAAACCGGACGACACGCGGACCTCGTCCACCACCGGCGCCGGCGCCGATAATACCGGCGGCCAACAGCAGACAATTGCGTCCGAGTCGTTTCTTTAGCTATCCAAGCTGATAATATTATAAGTGATAATAATATTATCATGACGACAGTATAATTATTATTATTGTTTGTTTTTTATTGTTATTCGAATGGACCGACCGCAATCGAGAAAATGGTGGCGAGAAATCACGATGAACATATTAATTCTGTACATATTGATAACCAATTGATAACCTATCGATTCGAAATTATTCGGTCCCGCGTCCGCCGTATAAATATTTTTGCAACACTATTTATTGCAGTATACCTACACGTGAAACATTTTGTTCACTTAAAACGCGAGCTATTAATCATACTCTTCAAAATGATTTTTAGTGACTTTTATGCCCGGAAGTTGAAGACAACTAAATTATATTATCCGTACGGTTATTCAAACGAAACGGTATAGATATTTATATTAACGGTTTAAAAAATGCCTTAACTCTAGTTTACAAACTAATAATTTAACTAAACGGTTGCGTCAACTAGATAAAGTCGTGTTCTTTAATTTTCATCTCGGGCTTATTTACGCTAAATAATTATATTATATTATACTCATTTCGAGATAAATCGATATGCCGACACGATTTGTTCGTTTACGTTACCGTATACGGTACCCTACATACTTGTATAAGTACGATAATTATTTCAATTAAATTTTTAAACGATATCAGAATATCAAAAAATAAATAGATCCAAAAAGCAGGGTGTCGTCCCGAGATTATTTTTCAAATTATCAGTTCGGTTAGGTACTATAAGATATAATTATTATATTATTTTATTTACCTGTCTTATTTAAATAAAAGACACTCGTTTAGCGGTCATGATTTCGATGTTGTTCACTTTTAATTTAAACTATTAAAATATTATGTTTCAATGAGTAGCGATAAAAATCACTTCCCTGTACTACTAGGTACGTAACTTTTCATACAATGTAAGGTTACTCGTTACTATTAACATTAACATTAAAATTCGACAATTTAAATTTTAGAAAAAATCAAATACAAAAATAATGCTTCAAAAGTAAATGCATGTATCGTGCTTATACAATATTATTTATTTTGTATTGTATATTGCAATAACATGCAAATACATTTTATAAATATTTTACTGTTCCTTAAAATAATAAAACATTTAAACAAATCATAAAAAATTAAACAATAATAAAATTCATAAAACTTATTTTTTATTTATAAAAAATCATAAATCATCGCCCCTTTACATTTGAGTGCCTACTTATGTTTAAATGAATCAAAATACAAACATGTTTTTTATTAGAGTTACGTATAGATAAAAATAGGTAGTACAGTTTCTTGATAAATGATAAATAATATATTTTGTTAATTATGACTTTATAATTTTTATCACTATTAAGATTATGTTATTATTATTACTTATATGATTTTAAATGATTTAAAATTCAGGGTTTCAAATTCGATTAGCAAAATCGTCCCCAGAATTTAATTTTTAACTATACATATATATATATATATATTTATATATATACCTATGCATTATATTCTAACATACTTAAACATTTGTTTCTTTTTTGTCTTACACTTTTTACAAATATGTCTTTATAATGTTAAGTTCAAAGTTTTATCGGTATAACGGTTACAATGTGATCAAAAATAATAAACAACATAATTATATATATATATATATTAAAATGAATGTATAATAAAATTAACTATATGTAATATTCGTATAGTTTGTAAGTTTTCTGTTACACGATCACTTTGTAATCGATGTGTCGTCATTATTAATTTATGCTTTAAATACATAATTTTTGAAAAAAAATTTTTCTGAACTACTGTCATATTCAATTATTTTTTTTTTTTTCATAGTGTTTCCTATCCAATATTCATTAATGGCTTTTACTATTAGTGATGGGCATAACCGATAAACTAGTTGATTATGGAAAAAAATCAAAGGTGCCTGAACGTATTTATAAGAAGTGCACTGCACTACCGAAAAATATGAGAGGAAAGGGTATGGTTCCTCATGGCGTTTAATAGATAGTTGGAAATTTCTAATTTTTAATATCAGTTGTTACTGTTTAATGTGAATTAGTTTGTTATAGAATCTCGAGTTATAATACTTATTATAATTATATCTTATGTTTTTTTTTTTTTTTTTATTTATACTTCCTGTATCGGTGGTCAAGGACGGATTTAGTTTATCCCAGCCCGAACTTTAAGTGCTTAACAATAAGCCTCTGTATAAACTTGCAACGTAAATTTGTGTTCTACAAAGAGTTTTAATGAATATTTTATGTATATTTTATTTTATTAGTACATAAACGCCGAATCCCATAAATGCCCCCTTTTTATACCCAGGCCGACCAGTAGCGGGGTCTGTATTTAAAACAAAGAGAGATGGTAAAATTTAATAATATCTATACTCCCGTATTCCCAATATCAATTCTATTAATCCACCACTGAAAAAAACTATTCAAATTGTTTTTTGACATACTCAATAGTTTTCGAAAAAAGTATTCAATCATGAAAAAAATATCCGAATGAAATGTTCGATGACGCATCTATAAGATATCAAAAACTATTAATAGTATACATTATTTGGAATTTTACATCACTAAATTATTAACAGAGAATTAAACATTACCCTCCATTCATTATCTTATTAACGTTACCCCTCTCCCCTCCGTTTTTTTTTCAATTTGAACTAAAAAGTTTAAAAAGGCATATTATTTTTAATACCTAACAACAATAGGTTTTGAAAACGTTATGAAAAAATTATAATAATTAATCTATATCACGGATAATGAAATATACTTCGAACACAATAATATATAAGGTGTTTCTAAAAAGTGTGCTATCAACACTAGTATAGTTAAGGAGAGGGTAATGTGTGGATCGCCCCTCCTTGGATTTTTCTAGCAGGAATGTTAAAATACAATATTCCGGAAAAGTCCGCATATACAAATCGAAATGTTACAATTTGAAACTTAACCAATTAAAAAGATGCCAGCGTATTATTTGTTTTCCCTTTCTGACCCGCGTAACATAGCAAATTTGCGTTCAACAGAATCAAACTTGTGACATTAGCTTTAGTAAAAGAGTGAATTAACGTAATAATCTTCAAATTTTAAGTTAATAATATTACCTGAGTTTATGCGTTGATTTTTTGATTTTTTTTTTTTACGATATTCCAATTTAAAAACCATATATGAGCGTTTTTAAATTGGAATATATTAACACACTCATAACTTGTATTATAAGATTGAAATATCGTAATAAAAGTCTATGTACAAACTTGGATGTTGTTTTTAATTTTCGTTTTGGTACAATTATCATGACAGGTCTATTTCAATATACACTCTAATAGTTAAGCTAATAATACTCGTTCAGTTCAGTCGATTTAACAAATTATGTTCTACGTGGGTCAAAAAAAATAAACAACTTATGTTCTAACATCCTCTTAATATGCAGCAAGAATTTAAAAAAAAAAAGCGATACAATACATGTATTTATAAGAGAAGTCCATTGGAGTTATTGTGGTATAAATTGTTTTTCAACTCATAATATACTTGCATCAATTGTACGAAAAATTAACAAAAACCAAATAACTTTGATTTCAAAATTAATTTAACTTCGTGAAATATGCAAAGGTGTTTAAGTATATTGATTACCATAACCTAATATTATGTATAAATATTATTTTTAATGTGTCAGATTGCTCATTGGTGTACATCATTTTTTTGATAAAATAGAAATAAATAGACCGCGTCGCGTACACCTATAATTTTTAAATATTAAAATAAGATAAACAAATGTCAAAAAAACAAAAAAAAAAAAGTCCTTAACTATATTTTATTAAATCGAAACAATTCTAATTATTTTTTAGCTGTTGTACGTTTTTATAAGTTAGAAACTTTGAAATGTCTTTTCACAGAACTATTATGCATGTGCTTAGTAAACGATTATAATATTATATTATAATAAATGTGTCGAAACCGTGTTCATTAAATTTTTGAAACTTATAACATATTATGTATGATAAATAAACGAATAAATACTATATATTTTGATAATAAAACATTACCAACTCCAAAATTCTTTACATGCATAATATTACTTTTAAGTCATTTAAAAAATAATAATTGGATTAAATATTATAATAACATAGGTACGAAAAATGTCCAAACATTAAAAACAAAGTACAGTAAACGTAGTCAAAAGCGAGTTTGGGCATTAACGAGTTAAAACGTTAAAAACTAATTCAGTTTGGACGTTGGGTTAATAAACATTGAGCTAATTTTAAATTATAGTTACCTATATCAAGTTAAAATCCATGTTAATTTCTTTCGATTTCAACAAACGATATTAAAATTACCATCTTTTTTCTTTTTTTTATTCAATAATAAAATTTGAAATTTGAAATAAGTATAATTTGATACAATTGAGGATAACACGAATCGTCTTTATTATTTAAAAAAATTATCAACTCTAGGTTCACAATACTTACGTCAATAAAATGTTTAGGAGAAACAAAAACAATGTTCTCAACTAAGCTGTAATAAGTCAAATTAATTTTTAACTTAACATATTGAATACTAATTAACATGTCTTTACTAAAAGACAGTTATCATTTAACGTATTAAATCTTTGAAATTGTGTGTACGATTAACTTAACTCTGACCTAGTTAATAATAACATTATTATTGGCAGTATATGTTGCCGTGATAAATTCGATAAATCGTATTCTTCGTGGACATTTTTTTTTAAAAAAAAAAAACCAATGTACCTAATTAAGTTATGTAGATTCTTTGGGTACATAAACATAGTATATTATAATAATTTCATAAAACTCTGATAAAATTGAGAAATTGTAGAGATTATTTCAAACGTAATTACGTATATATAAACGGAAGTTACAGTATTGCGAGAAAAAGTTCAAACGTTTAAAGGAAGGCCATTGACTTAATTTATACACAGGGATACGGTAGTTCAGAAAATTGTTTATTCGTTACTATAATTATGTTTATATAAAATTTAAATTTGTTCGTTTGTTGTTTTTTTTTTTTACAAAAGCATTAAACTTGATTGAATTATATAAATCGCGTTTTAAAATTGCAATTTGATTTCGTGTTAATTTGTGAAATTTGAATAATATTTAAAATGTATTTGTTGTAAGTATATATAATCTCGTTGTGATAGAATTATTTATGTTACATATTACATTTAAATATTAAGGGGAAAAAAATTATTATTGTAAAAACAAAAAAAAAAAAAAAAAA